ACAGCACAGTTTACCCTTTGATTGCCCAGATGTTAACGCCTTCCTGCCCAGTGTCAAATATATATATATATATATATATATTTTTCCAGTATATATACTGCCATTTGTAGAAGCTATAACTTTCACATAAAACAATTAATTTACATGTATTGGGATTTCTTCTTAGTGCAGACATGTACCAGAATACATTTTGGCCTAAATTTATGAAGAAATACATTTTTAATACTGGATGTGTTTTATAGCAAAAAAATAAACCGCAGAGGTGATCAAATACCACCGAAAGGAAGCTCTATTTGTAGGAAAAAAGGACAAAATTTCATTTATGCACAGCATTGCATGACTGCGCAATTATCAGTTAAAATAACGTAGCGCTGTATTGCAAAAAAAATGGCCTGGCCAGGGGGGGGGGGGGTAAATCCTTGGAAGACAAGCGGTTTACAAAAAAAAAAAAAAAATGTAAACAGCACGTTATAAATCCTGGCAAAATGGACACCAGCCTGTGACTAGTGTTAAATGGCACTTTGTAACAACTAAAGTATTTTTACTTTGACAGACAGTCATATAAAAACTTAAATCTCAATAGCATATGGCATTTAATGTCTGGGAATATGCCAGCCAAAGAATGCCATCCAAACCAATAGCAGCTACCAGCAGTGCTCAGACCTGTACAAACCCCATGAGCCAGGTAGCCAATGTTCCTAAAACATCACAGTTGGTTCTACAGATTTTTCGCCTTTGCAGTTTATGTCAGTGAAATCACTTGACATCATGTATCTTCTTCAGCGAGGTTACGCATTCACAAAAAAATCATTAAATTTACTTTAAGGCTCCGTTCACACTTGTAATAGGGCTTCCCATCTGCAAGTGTGGAAGGATCCTTAAAATACAGTTGGTGAAAGGATGCCGAATTGTCCTTATATCAGCATCCTGCAACCCTCTGCACAACAGTGCTCAAACATATAGCATTGTACGCCAATCTGGCTTGCAGAACAGAAAGAGTACAGCTCATATCTCATTCCAGGTGTTGCTATCCAATCAAAAAGCTAGGGAGGGGTGGGAACCTGTATATTTCTTAAAATGGATCTAAAGCCTTTTTTTTGTAGCTTAGAATGGTGGTTTTAGATCTTCTGGCAGGTTTCTGTTGCTGTCTGCTTCCTGACTGGGAGGATTCACCCCATCTGCCCTAGTGACCATAGCCACAGGTACTGAAAGTGAGGGAAAATCTAAAACTTGAGTTACAACAGGAATAGAAAGAAAAATCTGGAGGTGACATTTGTTCTGGTAACACCTGAGAGACCATGTCCATTAATTTAGTGATTTAAGGCATATCCATGGTAAAAATATAAAAATTGAAACTTATTTTTCATATTTAAATTTCAGTTATTTCTAGCCTACTGCTTTTGATCTAAATGATCTTGAAGTTTGTAAACTTACTTTATGAAGATCCCCACACATTCACTCTCTGAATTCTGTGGCACGATTCACTACACACTGTGTAGGCACTACTTTGTCACATATCACAGAGCCAGCAAGGTACCATGGGATATGTAGTCCTTAGAAATTGAAAGTAAACAGCAGAGAAGCAGCTGCAAAAGAATGCAGGGAATCCAGAAAGTTGTGGAAAGAGATGGCCAGCAGACAGGCAGGACTCAACATGAAAATGCTTTTTCAATAAGTTTCTATTGGATTGCCAGAAAACTATTGTTTGTATTGATATTATAATGATGTTATGAATTGGAAGTGTATGCTGTGACCATAAAATTCCTTTAATTTCATGTTTTTTCTTCAGACAAGGAATAAATCTCCCCAGTGGGACACAAAGAAAAAAACAAAAACAGTTTAGACCTTGTAAAGTTTTGGCTTCAGATATACTTCGAAGCTAAACCTGGGAAACCTCTACAATAATTCATTTTCATTAGTAAACAGGGTAGATAAAAATCAATGATTTAAAAAAAAAAAAAAAAAAAAAAAAAAAATTATATATATATATATATATATATATATATATATATATATATATATATATATATATATATATATTATATACACACACACACACACACATATATATTGGATTTTTGTTTTTTCTAAAACGGATTTTTTTTATTTTTAGAAAATTTATTTTAATAAAATGCTTTTGGAGTAAAAATCTATCTAATCTATTTAAGATACATTAATAATTTAGTATATTCAGCATTAAATGGAGCTTTATTTGGCATGAGGCTGTATATTCTGCAATGTTTACATTTTTGGTAAACTCATTCAATGAATCCAAGCTCTGCAAGCTGAGATAACATGCACTGCCATTGATGCATTAGCACAATTTCACAGTAACCATGAGAAAAACCATGAAATAAAAGAATTTGAGTAGTTCTCCAGCTATGTGCGATTAACCTATTAACCTAAAATCGGTTCTTACATCGCTGTTTTACTAACCTGACAGCTTATTATTCTAAAAGGGAAACCTTAATTTAGTTTGCAAATATTAAAGATTCTAATTACCAGCAAGAATGAGTTGGATTCCTTATATTTAAAGAGCACCTGTCATTTTAGATCCATCATGGCAGCGCCTGTTAGCAGGCATCCACTCCCCTGCTGCCGCCACGTCCCTCACTTTGTTGTGTCACTGCCGCATCACCAGCCGTCCCATTAAAGTGAATTGGACTGTCAGTGAGTCAACAGCGGGTCAGAGTAGGAGCCGCTACGGGACAGAGATGACAGTTGCTCTTTAAAAATTCTATGATTTAAATCGAGCCTTTTCACTAGTGATTTCAATAAACTTGATTTAAATCAAATCCACCCTGTTAATAAAGTAAAAACACTTTTGTGTTTTGTTTTTTTTACTATCACACTTTTGTAAAAACTGACTAAAGTACTACAGTGGGAAATTTACAAGACCAGTAGCCAGGGGATAGCATGCATAGTGGCCACCAGTCCTATGAGCCAAACAAATTGTCCCTTGCAATGGAGCTGCATCTGCACTGCAAGGGTTAATAGCTTGCTTTGTGGAGGGGAGAGGAGAAACCGTTTTACTTACCTGATCCTTTGCTCCCCGGCAGGCAGCACTCCCATGATCTGGTGGTGGACTGGAATCCTCACGCCCAGTACAGGGCTAGGGACCCTTCTATAGTCCTGATAATGTCAGGACCCTAGACTGGTGAAGTGTGGAGGTGCAGATGCTGTGGGGGGAGCAGTGGAGAACCGGCTAAGTAAATCTTAAACGAGCAATAAACAGCGGGCTTTGCCACTGCAGGGGATAATTTTTTATTTAGGCATTAAGTGGTAGTAAACCGCAAAAAAAAAAATCTAAAAAAAAAAAACAAATCTTCTCCCTGCAAGTTGAGAGCATAATGTGCTAGTATGCATCACATTATGAAAGACTTACCTGAAAATGAGCGCTGACATGGCTCCCTGGGACCTCCATCTTCACTCGATCTTCCTTCTCGGTCCCCATCCGTTTTACTGGCCGAGCCGTGGCGATTTTTCATGTACATGGGATTCTCAGCCGCTACACAGCTCTCTTGATGGACGGCACACCATCCATTGAGAGCACAGTGCGCATGCGCTGGTGTCATCACCGGCGCTGCTAAAGTAAATATCTACTAAACGTGCTTAGGAGTTAAAAAACTTAGCCTTAAAGGCTTACCTGTAGGTAAAGACTTGACTAGCACTCTAAGGGGACAGAATCATTCCCTACGTAAAGAAGGCCACGCTTCAAGGACAGGGTAGCGGTGTACTCCAACCAGAAAAAAAAAATATCTTTAAAAAAAAAAAGGCAGAAAAGCACTTTATGCATATCTAGTAATGTTGAAGTGATACTAAAGGCTCAGTTTAATGTTATTTTATTTTTTTTTTCTAATAACAACAAACATGTTCTACTTACCTGCTTTGTGCAATGGTTTTTCACAGAGAAGCCCCCGATCCTCTTCTTCTGGGGTCCCCCAACAGCTGCCCCTCTCCCTGCCAAGTGCCCCCACAGCAAAAGGCTTGCTATGGGGGTACTTGTGTGTGCTCACACCTGAACCCCGCTGTGTGCGTCCATAGACACACACAGTATGGCTCGGCCCCGTCACCCTCTCCCTTGTCACTGGCTGTGATTGACAGCCGCCAAAAGCCAATGGCTCCTGTTGTGTTTGAGCCAATGAGGAGGGAAAGCCATTGCTCTCGTGCACAGTGCTGAATCAAGATCCGGCTTAGGCAAGTATAAGCCGGGGCTGGGGGAGCAGAACACAGAACAATTAAGGTCTTTTCCCTTTACGCACAGAATGCATGAAGGTAAAAACCCTTCACACTTTAATATTTTGACATCTAATAAAATGTGTACCCCGAGTTTAGCTTCAAATGTAACAGAAAATGAAAATGTGGTATCACATTCCTGATTAGGCAGTGTGGCAAGGGTTTGTGAATCAAAAAGTCAACAAACAGAATCCTAAATATTTTTACGCTTAACCTCCCTAGCGGTCTGATTATGTCCATATTTCTGTGCTCAAAACGGTACTTTTTTGCATGGAAATATGTAGTTTTTTTTTTATTGTAGGCCTGTAATTTTTAGGAATAACTCACTGAAATCTGTCCGAACAAGAGTCTAGTAAACATCCCGGGTATGTTAAAATTTAAACCACTAAATTATAATTTAATAATCATAAAAAATAATATATATAATAAATGTAATTCAATATAATCAAACCAAAAACACTGAAATTTGAAATATAGCGCCAAGTTTGCACATCACTGAGCAAAGTCGCAAAAATCGTTTTCAGTGTCTGATAACGAATTTCCCCACAAATCATTATCACTCAATTCTGCAAGTGGTTCTAATTTACTATCGCTGTTCTTTAGCTGGTCTAAAACCAATTTTGACCTAAAGATATGTTTTTTGGACGCCATGGACGTTTCTCAGTTTCCAGGCAGAAAGAACAGTAAAATGCAGGCAGGGCGCCGGACAAAGCACTCGGGACAAAATGTATGTGAAATGGTTTGATACAGTAATGTTATACTATGTGATTTTAGTGAATGTCACTTTTAAAATGTTCTAAATTTCCCGCCAGTTCCGACCTTGTAGGTCCTGACGTCGCAGGGAATGGAACTTGGAAGACAGATGCCGGCATCGGCCGGAGGACATTGCCGGGGACACTGCAGGGGGGACATCGCGGGAGGGCAGGACAAGGTAAGTGCAGAAAAGATCCCGGAGCAAGGCTGCAGGGTATTCCCGAGTGTAGCTCGGGGTTACCGCTTGTGGTGCTGAAACTTTACCCCGAGCTACACTTGGGAATACCTCAGGGAGGTTAAAAAAAAGTCCACAAAAACATTTTTTTTTAACTGTATTAAACTGTTCCAGAAGTGTTGAGCTTTAAAAAGTGCTAGCTACTTCCTAGACTGCCCTGGCTCCAGACATCTATTTACATTTGTCTTCTTCTGGTGATGCCAAAAGATGCTTACAGAACAGCAAGTCAACTTGATTTTCATCCACTCCTTCCGCAAATGACTGATATTACCACCAGGGGCGGACTGACAACTCATGGGGCCCCCGGGCAATAGGAGATCATGGGGCCCCTGTGTCCTTGCCCAAACTCAAAAAAAGCCTATGAAAAAAGGTACCAGGGGCATTTCATGGGGCCCCCTACTGACCCCGGGCCCTCGGACAGTGCCTGAGTTTCCAAATGGTCAGTCCGCCCGATTACCACCCAATGTCTATTGAATAAAAAAAAAAAAAAAAATCAAGTATGCTCCACAAATATAAATACTGTAGAGGTGAGAGCAATATCACCACTTCTGAAAATGTGACCTACCAATTGAGTTTAAACAAATGGCATTAAGAAGCAGCTAAAATATGCTTTTTCTTACTTGGCTGTTGCATTAAAATTGAAAGCTACAGGCTTCAAGGACCAATACAATAACATACTAGACATGTCATGTCTTCATTAGGTATGGACTAGTTTGTTAGAGGTTGCAAAACAAACATGTTTTTTTTCTTATGATCATGGTCAATCACTTTCAATATCTTCGCCAGTCATCAAGCTTTATATAGCTAGCAAATTTTTGGCTCTTTCCACAAATCCTGTCATGGAAAGTTTAATTTTTTTCTGCTCAGAAAGATGAACAGTACATGGCAGTCTGCCAATTTTAGCTTACTGATAGCCCAACGAGCATACAAAAAGAAGAAAGATGTACTTGATATTGTTTGTTATTCAATAAGTCATCAGCCTAATCAACAAACATCACCAAATACGGCTGGATGAATCAGTCTTTGACTCCCGTAAAAATATATAAAAATATACCATAAAACCTAATACATTGTGTAATTTATGGCCCAGAAGGAGAATTAAAAAAGGTCATATGGTAACTGACTCATCTACAATGTGATTCTATCTTAGTGGTATCGTGTACATACTATTACATGCTTTTAGGGAAGGCCACAAATTATATAATCAGGCAAACAAATCATTAAACAAACTGTGTTAAAATGGACCCTGCTTTTCCCAAACATTTGTATTGTTGAGAGGGGCAGGATTGCTTCCCAATTACTGACAGATTTCAGCTGGTGTCTTGCCTTTTTGCACCTCCCTTTCTTTGTGTTCAACACTTTTTCCCTGTGTCATTCCATTTTATTACACATAAAACTTAATTTTTGATCTTAATTTGTTTTGGTTTCTTTGCATGTATGGATTGCATGGGTTGTTACCGGTACAGGTGGTGAAAATCTCATGTCAATAGCACATTTAGAAAAATATTTACTGAGAGAAATGGTGATGTGTTCAATACTTATTTTTCCCACTGAATACAGTGAGGAACAGAAGTATTTGAAGACCCTGCGATTTTGCAAGTTCTCCCACTTAGAAATCATGGAGGGGTCTGAAATTCACATTGTAGGTGCATTCCCACTCAGAGACAGAATTTTTTAAAAAAAATTCAGGAAATCACATTGTATGATTTTTAAAGAATTTATTTGTCTTGCACTGCTGAACATAAGTATTTGAACACCTGAGAAACAGCAAGAATTCTGGCTCTCAAAGACCTGTTACTGTGCCTTTAAAATGTCCACCTCTACTCCACTCATTAATCTAACTTAGTAGCACCTGTCTGAGCTCTTTAAAGACCAGTCCACCCCACAGTCAGTCAGACGCCAACTACTACCATGGGCAAGAGCTGTCAAAAGACACCAGAGACAAAATTGTGGACCTCCACAAGGCTGGAAAGGGCTACGGGGCAATTGCCAAGCAGCTTGGTGAAAATAGATCAACTGTTGGAGCAATTGTTAGAAAATGGAAGAGGCTAAAGACGACTGTCAGTCTCCCTCGGACTGGGGCTCCATGCAAGATCTCACCTCGTGGGGTATCACTGATAAGAAAGGTGAGGAATCAGCCCAGAACTACAAGGGAGGAGCTGGCCAATGACATGAAGAGAGCTGGGACCACAGTTTCAAAGGTCACTGTCGGTATAACACTACGCTGTCATGGTTTCAAATCATGCATTGCACGGAAGGTTCCCCTGCTCAAGTCATCACATGTCCAGGCCCGTCTGAAGTTTGCCAATGACCATCTGGATGATCCAGAGGAGGCATGGGAGAAAGTCATGTGGTCAGATGAGACCAAAGTAGAACTTTTTGGTCTAATCTTCACTGGTCGTGTTTGGAGGAAAAAGAAGGATGAGTTGCATCCCAAGAACACCATCCCTACTGTGAAGCATGGGGGTGGTAACATCATGTTTTGGGGGTGCTTTTCTGCGAAGGGGACAGGACGACTGCACTGTATTAAGGAGAGGATGAATGGGGCCATTTATTGTGAGATTTTGAGCAACAACCTCCTTCCCTCAGTCAGAGCATTGAAGATGGATCGTGGCTGGGTCTTCCAACAAGACAACGACCCGAAGTACACAGCCAGGATAACCAAGAAGCCGTAAGAAGCATATCAAGGTTCTGGAGTGGCCTAGCCAGTCTCCAGACCTAAATCCAATAGAACATCTTTGGAGGGAGCTAAAACTGCATGTTGCTCAGCGACAGCCCCGAAACCTGACTGATCTAGAGGAGATCTGTGTGGAGGAGTGGGCCAAAATCCCTGTTGCAGTGTGTGCAAACCTGGTCAAGAACTACAGGAAACGTTTGTCCTCTGTAATTGCAAACAAAGGCTTCTGTACCAAATATGAACACTGATTTTCTCAGGTGCTCAAATACTTATGTTCAGCAGTGCAAGACAAATAAATTCTTTAAAAATCATACAATGTGATTTCCTGAATATTTTTTTTAATTCTGTCTCTCAGAGTGGGAATGCACCTACAATGTGAATTTCAGACCCCTCCATGATTTCTAAGTGGAAGAACTTGCAAAATCGCAGGGTGTTCAAATACTTCTGTTCCTCACTGTATACACTAACAAATTGAAGCCAAACTCCAGCTCTAGCAGTTACAGGAAACATTTTTTTCCCTTTTGGAATAAAGGTTTTACATAAATAAAAGCTGATCATTTTAACCAGCCCTGCCAGTGTTAAATGGTTTGTCTTATCCATGTAAACTGAGACATTCTGCTGGAGAGCTTGATCCTTTGAAAACAACAGACTTGCTGGCTGGATCACCAGATGAAAATAAGAGAAAGAAAGCCTTAAAAAAGAAAACTAATACAGCCATCACCTCTAAGAATTAGTAAGCTGCAATATTATAAATATTGCTTTTGGGGTTAATAATGCTTTTTATATATAGCTTTATTAATTGTAAGCTCGAAAGAGCAGGGCCTCGATCCCCTCATGTTTTGCATTGTATTGGTATTGTTCTGTCACATGTTCTGTCCCCCTTTGTAATGTACAGCGCTGAGCGAACTATTGGCACTTTATAAATACTGTATAATAATAATAATAATAATTAATGCTAAATAGAATCCAGTTTCTCATTTTTTAATATGTATGTGAAAGTCAAAAGCTTGATATAAATAATCTTATCCATCCATGTTAATGCTGAATGAAACCTTGTGCTTTACTGTGCTACACAGTGTAAGTCTATGAGGCAGCCAAACCACTAAAAACGATGCACTCCACGTGTGCCTAACGTCTTACTTCAAATAACTATTAAAAGAAGTTCCCCTTTAGTAACATATTGCACCCATATTCAGGGTAGAATATGCAACGTTACTAAAAGCACCTGCCCATATCCTGACCCAATCCCCCATTGTGACAGCAGATGGGAGATCCTCTCCCCGCACCAACAAGCACAATTCAAAAACAGCATGGCTTTTCAGAGCTCCACCCACATAGCCACGTCATTCATTCACCTATGGATGAATAAACTACAAGTACCGTCTGCCACCGTGGCAATCAGTTTGTAGGTCTCAATGAACTGCGAGGGTGCCGATGAGCACTGATCTTCCTGGACTTCAGTAATTGTCCGTACAGGAGGTACGGGCAGACAGCTGTACTGAATCTGGTTCCTGAAAATGTACCTGCAATCTACTGATACAAGGTCTGCAGAGCATTACGTCCACTAAGAAAAAAAATAAATGTACTTTTTTTTTTAACCTGTAAAAAAAAAAAAATGTGCATTTGTAATTTTTTTTTTAAAACATGAAGTTATCCTTTACAGCTGAACTCCAGGTTTCCTAGGACATTAATAATTAGTATAGACCAAGCTGGCCCTCTGGGAGGTTCTCTTGAACTAAAAACCACCAACTTGTACTAAATTGGAAGATGTCTGCTTATGTATGTATAGCAGTGAAGCAGACAATCACTAAAGCCTGGAGGAAACCTAACAACCCCTGTGATGAATTCAAATTATGCTATCCAACTTGACTGGTTCCCAAGTTTCACAGCACCCCAGACACCTTAATCTGTCCGCAAGTTGTGACCACTTTTTGCTGAATGTTTAACTTTCGGCTACGCAATGTCTTAGACATTTATTCACTATCTCTGTTTCTTTACACCCCTTCTGTTCGCCCCCTTTTTTTATTTCATTCTTTCTTCTTACCTTTCCTCTTTCTTCATTCCTTGTACCTGCTTTCTTATAACTCCTTATTTATTTTTTCTCAACCCATCCGCTGCATACCTCCCCCCAACCAATGACCTACCTGTTCACTCTCAGCCCCCCTCCCTTGCTTCACATCATTTCTAATAATTTTTTACGTACCCTCAAAGTTGCTGAAGCCCTGAACAAGGCATTGACTCCTTAACCCGCTGTCCTTTCTGTGCAACATTAACAAAGTAATGACTATATGCACACACATGCCTCTCTTGAATGGCTAAATTATCCAAAGTAATGTTTTCCTTCTTGTTATTTGATGTACATTATTATGTTATATCATTATACTCTTCTAAAAAAAAAATTTCAAGTGGTTCTAAAGTCAAAAGG